TAGATTTTACCTTTTTTTAGGCTCCAAAAATATGATTTAACATGCGTTTCATTCGTTATGTTTGGGTTTAGTCGGTTCCATTTGTTCTTAGGGTTTAGTATTTGGTATAATGTACGTATTTTTGCAAAAAAAAATCATAAATACGTACATTTTTAAGTGTTAAAAAAGGACAAAATCTATAAACTATTCAAAAAAGGGCAAAATCCATAAATGTCATTATAAAAAAAAGCAAAGTCCGTAATAATCCCTTCTCTACTTCTTCGATTTATACACACCACTCATACAAGTGTCAGCAAGAGAGAGAGATTCAAGTTTTGAGAACCACAACAGAATTTATAATTTCTTTTAAATGTTTTTGTTATGTATGTTTTAAATGTTACAAAATAATTATACTGTGAAGTTAAAAAACTTAATTCACTAGACTTTCACAAAATTTTGTCATAGTGTTGCAATGAACAGATGAATGAATAAATTCGTCACAAACTAAAATAGAAGACAAAAATTTGAATCATCACAATTCACAACCAATCAAAACTATTATCCCTTGCAGATGTAACTGACCACTGCTTTTATAACTGAATTTAATTTTCACTGCAAATAGTGTGGAAAGGAAAAAGGAATGTAAACAGATACATTAAAAGGGAAATGAATCAATATTCTGTTTATATATACAAAAAAAAAAAATGAATCAATAGTTTTTTTCTTTTGGGTAACTAAGGTTTTCCAGACTAAAAATCCAGATTGATCTCCGAAAGTTATAAAAACCGAATATCGTTGCTATTTAAAACGTTCACAATGGCCAACCATAGTTGAAATCCCAATGGGAAATTTTCAAACCCTAGTCTTATAATCCCATAATAAATTTTGAACCATTAGCCTAGCATTGATTAATTCGTCAAATTTTAGTACCATGTTTCACAATCCTTTTGTCACAAATTTACATCACTATGTTATGATATAAGGACGAGAGAAACACCGTAGTAAATTCGTCACAGGCTGGAATTGAAGTTAAAAAACTAGAAAAGGGTCATGAGACATTACTCATTTGTTACTATATCATCACAACCAATCGAAATAAATTGGTGGATGGATATACCTACTTTTTAATGGATTGGATATGAAGTAGGGTATAATGTATATAGTATGAAAGTTGAGAACAACTTAACTACGTAAATGTTGAAAATATGGAGAAACATATAATATAAAAATAAGATAAGGTTAATAATAATCAAAGCCTTGGAGATGTAAACGATAATGAAGATACATGTCGTATGGGACTAACTGACAGATGGATGCTCCACTCTCCTACTACCCTACTTGCTTTTATCCATTAACACACATAGAGACATCTAAGCATGGAGTTTTAATTGTTACTATCGAGTTTCAAACTCGAACCAGCGTTGTCTCGAGAAGTATCAAGTCATCAAAACTTATTAATTATTGATTTTGGTTGGTGAAAGGATTAATTATGAGATGTTTTTGTCTTCTTGGTTGTGTGTTGTTTTCCAAACGCATTTGGCAATCTAACCATAATTGTTGGTGTATCCAATTTGTAGTTCTCGCACTACAAAGTCTAAAACACACTCAAAAAACACAAAAGTTAAAAGAGTCTCAACCGCTCCTAAGCATAGCACACCAATTTTAAGCGTTGATCGTTTGCAGTAGCCCGTACCAAATTTGTTTTTTTTTTTTTTTTTGTATATATTTAAATCAAAGTATTAATGATCCTACAATGTTAAAACTTGAAATTCATCTAAAAGCATATATATATAGTCACAATGATATTTTCTTTACGCAACAAAAAACTAATTTTCAAATAACAAGAAAGTAGTTGGTAGAGGAGTTAATAGGTCTATGACAAAACTAATTTTAAAACGGGTGTGGAAAAAAGAAAGTTTGAAAAACAAATCTGACCATATCACTTTAACTCTATAAAATCCGTACATATTCTGCAACTTTTACACAATTCACTAAATTCTCACATACTCTCTTTCTTTTTCTCTGTGTTTCTTTCTCTTTCTTTCTTCCATGGAGCTCTTCTCGCTTTCTTCTCTGCTCCTACTCTCCACTCTCTTCGTCTTCTACATCTCCAAATTTGTTCTCAAAAGAAGAAACCAGAGAAAATGCTACATGCTTCACTACGAGTGCTACAAGGGCATGGACGAGAGAAAACTCGACACCGAGACTTGTGCTAAGGTCGTTCAACGAAACAAGAACTTGGGTCTTGAAGAGTACAGGTTTCTCCTTCGTACAATGGCTAGTTCCGGGATTGGAGAGGAAACGTACGGTCCAAGAAACGTGCTTGATGGTAGAGAAGACTCTCCTACTCTCCTCGATGCTCACTCTGAAATGGACGAGATCATGTTCGACACTCTCGACAAGCTTTTCCACAAGACAAAAGGCTTAATCTCTCCTTCAGACATCGACATTCTCGTAGTCAACGTCTCACTCTTCGCTCCATCTCCATCTCTAACCTCACGAGTCATCAACAGATACAAGATGAGAGAAGACATCAAATCCTTCAACCTCTCGGGCCTAGGGTGTAGCGCGAGCGTTATATCGATAGATATCGTGCAAAGGATATTCGAAACTACTGAAAATGCTATCGCACTCGTGGTTAGCACCGAGACAATGGGTCCTCACTGGTACTGCGGTAAAGATAGGTCAATGATGCTCTCAAACTGTCTCTTCCGTGCCGGAGGAAGCTCTGTTCTGTTAACCAACGCAGCTCGGTTCAAGAACCGGGCTTTGATGAAGCTCGTGACAGTGGTACGGGCCCATGTGGGTTCAGACGACGAGGCATACTCGTGCTGTATGCAAATGGAGGACAGAGATGGTCACCCAGGCTTTCTCTTAACCAAATACCTAAAAAAAGCCGCAGCTCGAGCCCTAACCAAGAACCTCCAAGTTCTCCTCCCTAGAGTCTTGCCTGTCAAGGAACTGATTCGCTATGCGATAGTTCGTGCGCTTAAACGAAGAACCACCGCGAAAAGAGAGCCTGCAAGCTCGGGGATAGGTCTAAACCTAAAAACAGGGTTGCAACATTTCTGTATTCACCCCGGAGGAAGAGCGATTATCGAAGGAGTCGGAAAAAGCTTAGGGCTCACGGAATTCGACATCGAGCCAGCGAGAATGGCTCTTCATAGGTTCGGGAACACGTCTTCTGGTGGTTTATGGTATGTTCTTGGTTACATGGAAGCTAAGAACAGATTAAAGAAAGGTGAGAAGATACTAATGATGAGTATGGGAGCTGGATTCGAGTCTAATAATTGTGTTTGGGAGGTTCTCAAGGATCTTGATGATAAGAATGTTTGGGATGATTCCGTTGATCGATATCCGGAATTGTCGAGAATCCCTAATCCATTCGTTGAGAAGTATGATTGGATCAACGACGATACCATGAGCTTTGTTCGTGTTGATTGATCACAAGTAAGCAGAGAAAAACAAGATCGAAACATTTTTATTTATTTTTAAATATATTTATCAATCAATTGGTTATAAGAAATGTTTCTTTATTAGGCGATATTTCGAAGTTTGGATTATTTGGAATGTTTAGACCAACAAGTTGCTATAGTCGACGATTGATTTTTTTTTAATTTCAATTTAAATTTGAAATAAATAAAGCATGTTTATTTTTTTAATATTCTTTTACAAATTGATTGTAGATTTTGACTAGTAACGACCAATTGCTGTGTTTGGGTAGAGGGTTGATATTTAGAACAGTAACAAAAAGATTGTGTATTCAAGTTGGTGCATTTATTTTGTCAGATTTGCATTATTGTGGCATACCTATTTATGAGTAAGACCAACAATAAATCTCATGTGTGTTCACAGATTGTAATTGATATGCATGTCGACTATAATTCACACAAATATATATTATTGATGTGTCAAACTCTCTGACATTACCTTTGAATGCAGTCAGTTTTATTGTTAGATTGTGGAGCCTTATATAAAAACTACTGGTGGTCCTACGAGTCTACAAGATTAAGGGAAAAAATTTGGGCACCGTTTTGTGTTTTCTCTTAATTATCTTTACACTAAAATAGATATAGTAGAAGAGAACGTTGCAATATTTGAATTAATCATTAAATTAGAAGTAGGAAGAAGGAAGAAAGTTTTCATGTGATTTATACAAAATTTCATATCAAAATAAAACTCTAATTATTAATTTTTTTAGAAGAAAAAATATGAGTTAACATTTTAATATGAAATTAACGGACTTTATGATCAGAAGGTGGATGCAAGAAAATCGATTTGACAAAACTGGATTCGGGAGTGTTATTTGTCATTTGAGGTTGCCTAAATGGAATGCGGGTAAGAAGATGGTTCTCACCATACCGATAATCATGGGTGTTACGTTAGATACAACATCCAAGAAAGATGCATTCTCCTGGTGCGGGAGATGTTACAGATGAATCGTAATCATTGATTTTCTAAAAGTTTAGTGGAGTTTCATAAAAAAAAAATGGATAGCCAAAAAAGAAATATGACGTTAAAGAAACTACTGAGAAGAAGACAAGCCCAGTTCTTTTCTGGCTTCTTCTGGGCCTACCGTTGCTATTGATTCTCGTTATGTTACTGACTATTGGATTCGTGTGGTGCGGTTCATCTGGACTCCCAAATCCTTATCTTCCTAAGAACATCTCCGATGGTGAGAACCCTCCATAAGCTCTCACTATTTTTTTAAGAATAAAATTTTCAAATTTTATTGATGAGAGTTTTTGTTAATTTTTTCTTAATTTTGCAAAGTCCAATGGTAGGCTCTCTTTGTAAGGTTCTCAGAAAAAAATTAAATTATTTTTTTAATTATTTTATTTCATAAAACTGAAAAATATTACAATTCATAATATATTAAACATACAATAATTTCATACATTTGAAAATAAATTTGCAAAAGTTTTGATGCTTGATTGTTTTGTGGTAGAAGCAAAGAAAAATTAAGGCGATGGTTGTTTTTATAGTTGAAGCAAAGAACAATAATAGAAAAACTTGATTTGTGAGATATCGAAAGACGATTCCATTATTTATAGCAAAGGCAAAACATACAAAGAATAAAGTTTATGGTACACATTCATTCTAGCTTATTTGTGGTACACAATTTTCATAAATTATTTGTAGTACATATACAAGTCTCCTTTTCTTTTCTGTCTCTCTCATTTGGCATCTAGACAACACACCACTTGCACACATTGGTCTCTTTGGCATCTAGCAAAAAAACACTTGCACAAGTTGGTCTCTTTGGCATCAGACAACACACCACTTCGTCCCAAACACTACTTTACCCTGTGACAAGACAAATTTTCCATGAATCGCAATAAGCTAAATCGAAGTGAAGTGAAGTCAAAAAGGAAGGTTAAGTAACAAACATACCACAATGGTTTCCTTGAAGTCAGCCTCAGGGTTTTGCTTCTTGACTTCAGCCCATTGATCTTTACACCACAAAATGTATGATGATGATGGTCGCAGAAACCACTAATAGCAAACACAGAATTGTGCAAAATACATAGACCAAAATCAGTTTATGTCAATTGAAATGAAAATATCATACATTACAAAATCAGTATTGTCTGGATCAGCTGCGCCTTCTCTTCCTGCCAAAATCATAAACTTAAGTGCAGAAAAAGACTGAAAAGTATAATGTGAACAACTATTTTTCTAGAAAAAGAGACTTACATTTCCACCTCCCATTTGTGGAACAAGAGCCGAAGAAATCAGAACTGTTGTTCCAAGCACAAGGTAGTGTTGAAACCCAAGTAGAACAGACTCAGCTGAAAGACAAGAACAAACTCTCAGTCTCACATTTACTAAATCAGAAGCTTAAAACCTCCATTTAACCTTACCAAAACAGAGACAACAAAATCTTATTAGCATAAACATCAAACATTAAAAATTCAAATTGAATCAAGCAAGTAAAGGAGATTTACATATCTAGCAAAAGCAATCAATCTATTTCGTAATTCAGATTTCAATCAAGACATAGAACTATAATCCGAAATGTATTTAATTTCAACCATTAGAGATGAAATACTTTATTAATCTGAAACTATCAAACAATCAATAACTCAGGTTTGATTCATCTTTCACCGGCGCTGGTGACCACCGCCTCTAAAAATGATGAATCCGGTCCAACCACTGCTCTTGCGCAACCACAGCTCATACACCATATCGCTGCTTCAATTCAACCCTCAATCGTCGGAGCAAACGTCCGACTCCGTCACCATCGCCAGGGTTATTGTCGTCCGAAAAAAGAGAGCGTTTCGCGAAAAATAGAAAATGACAAAGTATTTTCCTTCACACGTTTTTTTTTTTAGTTTTGTCAAACAAAACACCCAATTAGAACGTGACACGTACACGTCTCTTTTCTCTTTCAAAGTTTCTCTCAAGAGAGACAGCTCTCTATGTAAAAACGATTTTTTATTTAATTTTTCACAATTTCATTCTGAGAACCCATTGAGAGAACTCCAATATTGAGCCATTGGAGATGCTCTAATCAAGTCTAAAGGTTGTTAGATCCGGAGCATCATTCATGATATTGTCGTGGTCAGTCAATCGTTACCTCTATCTCTTTTGCTTTTGTCTCATCGTTTTAATGTTGTTGTCGATGGCTTAGCTAAATCGGCTCTTTTATCTTGTTATCTCCTCCTCTATTCTTGGAGTGTAAGCTACCCTTTTTTGTTAGTTCAAAAAAAAAAAAAAAAACAAGATCTGTTGTATAGGCTTGTACTACACCAAACTACACAAAATGGTAATAAACGAACTTTTATAACTGAAAAGCAAAATTATGTTCTTATGCCATCTGAATCTCTTGGAACGTCGTCTGAAACACTTGATGATCTCCTCTTTAATTTGACGATACCTTATTAACTTAATTTTCATTTTAACTACAAAAAATAATAATGCATGTTACAATTTGCTTGATATAGAAAAAATTAGATTGATATAGAGTAAATTTCTAGTTTAACAAAAAGAATTTCAAAAACCAAAATTGTTACTTACAAAATATTTGACGTGTAACATATACATCAAGTAATGCATGTTAGAATTTGCTTCTAATACTTCTGTACAAGTTATTCCTATTGGTAGATTAAAAAGTAAAAACCGAAGGCATGTTGGCGAGCTTATCGACGCGCTCAGTGATGCGCGTGCTATCTACGCTCTACGTCGTTGAAAATGTTATTTTTCTTTTACACATCTCGCCGCCGGGAAAACTAGGAGGAGAGAGAGATGGATTGCGAAACCCTAATTGAATCGGCAATTAGGATTCTGAACACGTCGGACCCGCACGAAAAAGCCCGACTTGGCGATTCGATTGCCGTGAAATGGCTCCAAGGTGCAATCGCCGAACCCTACGATCCCACCGTCGATCTCTCCGTCCCAGACAGACCGGCTCGACTTCCGGTGAAACTGGTGTCACCGAGTTTGATGCCGAAGCTGGGAAGAGCTGGTAGCTTACAGAGCAGGCAAGCCATTGTTCATAGTCTTGCTCATACTGAAAGCTGGGCAATTGACTTATCTTGGGTAAATGATTGATTTTGGACTGTGATGATTATATTTCTTAAAGGTTTTGCATTTTTGATGATTCTGGGGAATGTTAATCAATCTGCAGGATATAATTGCTCGTTTTGGCAAGCAAGAGAAGATGCCAAGAGACTTCTTTACGGATTTTGTTCGTGTTGCTCAGGACGAAGGTGGCCACTTCACTTTGCTCGCAGCTCGGCTTGAGGAAATTGGTTCTACTTATGGTGCATTGCCTGCTCACGATGGTCTTTGGGACTCTGCTGCTGCCACATCTCACGATCTTTTGGCTCGTTTGGCTATTGAGCATTGCGTTCACGAGGTCAACTTCTTGCAACTTAGTCCGTTTTGATTCTGTCTTTTGGGTCTCTTAGTCACTGATATACTATATTTGCAGGCTAGAGGGCTTGATGTACTGCCCACGACGATATCCCGGTTTAGGAACGGAGGCGATAACGAGACAGCAGATTTACTGGAGAAAGTTGTGTACCCTGAAGAAATCACTCACTGTGCAGCTGGTGTAAAATGGTTTAAGTATCTATGTGAACGGTCCAAGGATCCAGAATTCACCATCAGCAGCAAAGAATCAGATGATAGCAATGAAGAGATAATCAACAAGTTTCATTCGGTAGTAAGGGAGCATTTCAGAGGACCGTTGAAACCGCCTTTTAATGTAGAAGCAAGAAAAGCTGCTGGCTTTGGCCCTCAATGGTATGAACCTCTTGCTGTCAAATAGAGCAATGCCTAGCAAAATCCAACGAGTCTATTGCTTCTCTTTTTATCTTTTCACATACTTGATTTGTCTGTAATCTGCAAGTTCCAACACTGTTACCATGGTTTTGTGAAAGGAGTACTCATTCTTGAATTCAATACCTTATGTAACTTCAACCTTGTATACTTTTGTTTGACTTATATAAAGGATTCAAAAAGCAGTTTTTCAGTTTGAAGCTCTGTTTTTGTGTCGAAGTGGTCTTTTCAAGGGTGGGTGTAATACAAAAAACATATGAAGAATGGAGTTTGGTCAGTTTTTGATCTTTAAAAAGAAGGAAAAACAAAACACAAACGAGGAATTAACAGAACCATTCTTCAGTGGAGTTTATCTCAGCGGTTCTGAAGAGTCTCGATTGCCTTTTTCCACACTGAAGCTCTCTGTTTTGCGTCTTCAAATGATAAAACCTTCTTTGGCTGCACAAATGCAAGAAGAGGTCACAATTTAAGTTTCATCATCTTTGATTCTGTGGTGGAGAAAGAATAGATAAATGATGAGTACCGTGCAAATCTTGAAATGTGAAGGGCTAGTGACTAGAACGTTGAGGTCATTCGAGTTATCAGACCAGATAATGTTTCCTTTCACAACTAGTTTTGACGGGTCGACATAGATCAGCTTGGGTTTGTTGGTGAGTATTAGCTGCACCTTCTTGCTCGTTATTTTCTGAAGCTTCTTCACAGCTGATATCATCAGAACCGATTCTCCTGGCTCCAAAAACTGTTGCCTGTTAATCAAATGTTCACAAGAAAAAATTTAGCAAATTGTTCTAACTCGAGTATAGTTTTAGGAGCTTTGCCCAGAAAACAAAGGAAAAAAAATGAAGCTTAAATGCGCCCACCATCTTGAATCAAAAGAATCTATTGAAGCAAGTCGAGTTATGGAACCCGATGATTCAGAAGATGTAGAAGGAGCACTGTGCCCCTCGTTCTGTGTGGGTAAAGAATCTCCAATATGTGACAGGTTCCATGGTGAACCATGCGCGTCATCCCTCTCGGGAGATGCTGTCTGAGACTGCATCAGATGTAAAAAAAATTGACTTAATAAACGAGCAAAACAATAATGACAATAAAGGGCACCATAATTCCAAAGTACATGAGGAGACATACCGCAGGATCTGGAGCTAGTTTTGGAGGTGTCTGGGACCTTAGATTCTTCCAGTCAACACCATTAAAGAAAGGATGTTTCTTAAGAGCAGCATAACCTTCTGAACCAGCACCTGGTCTTCTGCTTGGATCGGTATCCTGAGAGAATATCACAGTAAAAGAGTTACTGCCATATCATTTGATTGGTGACAACGGCTTTTGATGTATCTTACCAGTAACCGGTCGATGAGGTCTCTTGCTTCTTCTGAAAAATGATTTGGAAACTTTATATCTCTGGCTATAATTCTTTGGAAAATCAGCCATTCACTTGCGTCTTTGAATGGAGAAGTCCCTGAAAGCATTTGATAGAGAGTGCAGCCGAGAGCCCAGAGATCATTTCTGGTGTTCCACAGAGTAGCAAAGAAATTGTTCAAAGTGAGAGAGGCACTGTAATCCACAAAACCAAAACGCAAATTACAGAAACAAAAAACTCTTACCCGACAGTTGCAGGAGAGGAGTTGAGAACTTCTGGAGGAACATATGCAGCAGTCCCGACAAAAGTGCACGCCTTATCGTCTGTATACGTCACCAGTGATACAGAGACAGGCTTAAACCAGAATCTGACAATAATTATTGACAAGACCTTAAGCTCAGAAATACCAGAAAGGATTATGGACGGTCATGTTACCAGAAGCTGCATTAGGAAGTACTGTGATCTGGCTATCCTGCATCGGCTTTACACTACCAAAATCAGCAATCTTAATGTGCCCATCCGAAGTCAGCAACAGATTCTCCGGCTACCATTTCAAGAAAAACACTTAGCACTGCCATTACTGGGGCCATAAAAGAGAAGATTTCGACAGAGAAGTTACCTTAATATCTCGATGTATCAGTCCCATACTATGTATATACTCAAGAGCATCCACAACTTCTGCAGTGTAGAACCGAGCTTCATCCTCCGATAGACGACCTTTCTGCAAAAAGAAAAACTCAAAAGGAACCATGATGGTATGTCAAATTCCCACAACATTGGATACAAAAAATCAAACTCCCAAGATTCTGTGATCATCTTACTCTGGTAATTTGGTCGAAAAGCTCGCCACCATCACAAGATTCAAGTGCCATATCTACCAAAAGCGTATCGAGCAGACACAAAAAAAATCAATCAGTCACAGACAATTTGTTAAGGCAAAGGAATGTTGAATTGAATTAGAAATACCTACATAGTGAGGATGTATCTTGAAATGTGAAGTAAAGTTTAATGATCCCAGGATGTTCAAGTTGATCAAGAACAATCCTTTCCAATTTCACATAAGATGTTTTATTCTCCTTGGTAATAAACCTTTTGTCCATAATCTTTAAAGCATACACAGTTCCAGATTCCTTCTTCTTTGCCCTAACAACCTGATATGAATCATCCACAGGTCACAAAAACAATCCTTTGCAGAGAATCGAGCTGGGTTTATGAATCAAAGCTACATTGCCTAATAGGGAATGAAAAAACGAAGAGATGGTTAAGAAATTAGAAACCTTTGAGTAAGAACCAACACCATAGATCTTGCCAAATTCGAAATCATGGCTGGTGAAATTTTCTTGAGGAGCTTTAAAGGAGAAGCTCTTGCTTCTGGAAACATTAGCACCGTTCCCTTGAAGAACAAGCTTTGAATCAAAATCTTTCTCCATTGCCAACATTTCCCTTTTCTTCTACATCTCGATACGACCCATTTAGATTTAGATTAGATTAATCAATCCCAGCGAGAGAGAGAGAGAAGAAAGAAGACAATTTTTTCAAAAAAAAAATCACAGAACCGTTGGATCTGTTGGCGATGGAGGGTTGCTTTGTGATTGGTTTCTTTACGAGGGTGGTGGTGGTGGGTTCCGATTTCGAAATTCTCGAATTAAAAAAAAGCGAGAAAATCTCGATTGATGAAAAAGGAAGAATATTGGGAAGAGAGAGCAGAGAAATTTTTATGGAAGAGAGAGAGATGTGACGACACTTCTTTCTTCTTCACTTCTTCTTCGCCTTCTTCATCATCTCCTTTTTAGTTTTTTTTTTTTTTTTCCCCATCTTTTAATTAAAATACTATTTTAATTTGAAAATAGTAAAAGGATAGGGTTTTTGATCACTTTGGTAGGGTTTTTTTTTTTTTTTTCCTTTGGAAATTTTGGATCTTTGCAATGATTCGTTCGATTCAATCACCAATGCTATCACTCATTACTAGGCTTAGATTTCATTTGTGAAATATTTGTAAATTTATCATTAATTAGAATTTAAATTTATTCCAAATTCAAATAAACAGTTCGTGATGACTATATTTTTTTATTTTTGAGAATGTTTGATTGTGATTCTGTAGATATAGCGTTGTGGTTTGTGCTAGTACTATTTCCAAGTTCTTGAAAATATGTTATTGAATTGTTGAATTTCTACTCTGTTTTTGCTGTTTCAAAGTATTAGACTGTGTTAGTATTTATACGGCCCTAAAACAATTCAGCCCAATACAAGTCGTCCTTTCTTAAAACCCAAATTTATAAGAAGTGTGCAAAGCCGAAACTAGACTCATACCTCAAGAACAAAAGGCAAATAACTAAATAAGTAAATCTATACTAGTATTTTTGCAACACTTGGGTGACGGGTGGGTAAAAATGCTTCCGGGTATATCGGATATCCGACCCGTTTTTAAAATTCTTTCACAAAAAATTTGTTGGGTCGGATTATATTTAACCCAACTCATACACCGGATATTCTATATTTAATAATTTAGATATTTAGAAGAATTGATTAAGATTTATAATTATGATTCTCCTATTATCTTTGTTTGATTTGTTTTTAACTGTTTTGAATCATCATATAATACATAAAGTAAAAAAAAAATCAATTTTTTTTTCTGCATATACTGTGATTCGAAATTTTAAAAACGGAAATATATTATCTAATTGACGAAAATATGTGTTCAACGTTCTACATCGATTAAAATATTTAGACAATAATTCAGAATCAAATCATAAATAAGAATATTAATAAAATAAATGAGTTTTTTTGCCAGACGGGTTTGACGGGACGGGTTTTTGAATCAACAATAATAAAAAGATTAAAATATCATTAATCCGCCGCTTCAATACGGATTAAATCTTTTTTTTTAATACCACAAATATTAGGCATATTAAATCAGTCTCATTTAGAAAAGATTGTATAAAACCAAAAATTATCCCGTGGTATAATGTCTCGTGGTCTTCGAGGATGATATGATTTGTAAACTTTTATATATAATAAATAATCATTAAATTTTAAAATAAAAACAAATCACGGGATGGATTAAGAAATTACGGAACAGGTTATATTTCGGAAAGGATTTATATGGCGGACGAATTTGAATCAATATTTGTATACCGCTTTAATACGGGTTAAATCTTACGTTTATTAATAATTTTCTCGTGGACTCGTGGTATACCATTACTTAATAACAATTATAAACTATAATATAAATAAATATGTTATAAGGAGATACAATTTACAAAATATTTTTATACTAACTTTAAAATTAAATAATCCTGCGGTGTACCGCAGGTTAAAATCTATTAGTGTTGATAATACAACAAACACCTCAAAGCAAATAAGATTTAAGGGTATAGAAATTTACACAAAATAAACAAATACTAATTGTGAGCAATTTACATAAAACTGAGGAGAAAACTGAAAAAAAAGAACACGCTCGTAATTAAGCCCTAGTACACTTGATCTGTGAAAGAATCTGATAGTTGAAGAGCTTAGACATGAATCTATAAGCCTTTTGAGTCAAGTGCACTCCGTCCCAACTTATGAACTTGTCTGGATTCTGACACACCGGTACTCCTGCTACTCCGCAAGGCCTCTTTCCGTCGTAGTTGTAAGCTCCACCGACCCCGCAACACGATTTCAAAGCTACACTCTTGTCGAATCCTTCACTGCGTAGAACGTATTGAAACGTGTTGTAGTAGTCTCCGTAGACTATAGCCACATCTGGAAACTCTTTTCTCAAAGAAGCTATAGCTTCTTGGAGTTGGTTATTGTGATCCATTGCAAATTCGTTGAGATGCTTCAAGCAACCTTTGTCGTCGTAAGCTTTTGGACCTTTTACGGGAAAAGACGTCAAGCTTTAAGCGGTTCGGAAAAAATAATGTAAATCCAAATATAAAGCTCACTAATAATATTAAAACATAAAAAACAAGTGAGCTTTATATTTGGATTTATATTATTTTTTCCGTTCTTTTTCTGCTTAAATTTTTGCGGTTAGATTTATTTGGATTTGCTAAAACCATATCGATTAACATATTTGAATTATAGAGCGCTAATGGAAATTAATGAATTATTGGCTTTTGTTGAATTCTACTTTATTCACAAGCAAATTTTTGTTCTTTTTCAAAGTTAGCCCCAGAATTTGAGAAATATGCTTTCAAATTTATGATTCCACACAGAACTCTATTAATATAAAACTAAAATCAGAAATAATTGCCCATTCACTATGCACACCATTTTCTAAATATATAACAAGATATGAAAGAGAATAAAAAAAGAGAGGCTAAAGTTACATTTTGGATCTACAACCACCAAAGTCAAAAAATAAATATCAAGAAAGAGCTATGGCTTATATTTTTGAAACTCATATTTTTTTTTTTTTTTGAAGAACTACTTACTTCCCCTATAAGTAACACTACTGTTCTACAAATCCCACCCGTCTTTTCTCCCACCAAATTCCCATATTCGATCAGCCAAACTTCCATACAAATCAGAGAATCGCCGGAGACACTTACTTCTCTTTCTGTAATGTTGGTTCGTGTTTCCACTAATTGCTACACCGGAAAATTTCGAAGTGTCAATTGTTACCAAAGACGGTCTCACATACTCCACGGCTTTTCCCCACCCGCTCGCATTCGCGTACAGGAAATTCAGTAAAATGTCTTCACAATTAAACTGCTCGCCCACAAATTCCCGACCGAGTTTCGCTTTATCTGATTGATACATATCAAAGGCAAAGCGAACGTCCATAAACGCTGCACCGGTGAGAATCATATTGTATCCTTTATGACTTCTCGCAAACTTCTCTGCGCTATAAGTCATGGTTTGATCAACAAAACGAGGGTAGAATCCGACCAGTCTCTCTGGATGCTCCCGCCAAACTCTAAACCCCTTTTCAATGTCATCACAAGGCATCATTATATCGTCGTCAAGCTCAAGAACGGCTCGGGTTTTAATCAGCGGATCGATCTCAAATCTGTTGTTCAGAGAATTCTGTTTCTGGACTCGGATTCTGACTGGCACGGCGGAGTCTAGCTCGGTCAGTTCAGGAGGCGGTCCTTTGTTCCATATGACAACTATCTCTTTGACGGAAGGACACCGAGAGTAACGCTTAACGTACATTTTCAGATTCCAGAGACGAGCATCGTAAGTCATAGTTGCTAACGTGAACTGAGACAAGTGACCTTTGAATGGGTAAGGCTCAACGGTTCCGCTTCCGCCATAGATGTATCTCACGCCTACACATGTGAGCAAAAGTCCTACAAGGACAATAACACCGAGTGTAAATTTTCCCATGGAGGAATTAGGCTTCACAAATCCTCTGAGAAAAGGCGGTACTCTGTTCAAGCGAGAACCAATCCGTCTTAACTTTTCTGAGAACAAACCCGCAGTTTCCAGATTCAGGAGCGCATCGGTTCTTTTTCCCGCATAGTAGTTCATACACCAGGTTGATGGAACAATGCAGTTCACAACCCCAAGCAAAAACCCAAGTAATATAACCACGGAAATAGCAGCCGCAAGTGAGGCATAACCGAGAATAACCCGATGAAACAGATCGCCTGAAGTTACACGGTCACCATCAAGAAGACCAATGAATTCACCAGAACTCAGCTGTTTCACATCAAAATGATGCTGCCGAACTCCGTTCCAAGAATTTTTACCCTTATGCGACGCTTCAAAAGAGAAAGGGACTTCAACTTCTCTGTACTCTTCCTTGGAAAGAACCTCAATCTTAAAAACGCGTATCCTTTTCCCGTAATTTTCACCACAATCTTGACCAACACGATAAAGATTCCCGTCATATAAAAACGCTCTGCCTCCGTTTCTTGCTCCAACACTTCTATTACCATTGTAGATAGGATTCTTCTTGTGTGGTTTCCACGTCCCTAATGGAGAGCTACTGTACCAAATTTCAAGCTGTCCATTCTTCTTGGCCCCAAAACTACTATGATCTGATCCAAATAGCCAATAAATTCCTTCGTGATGTATCAAGGTCGAATCCACAAGCGGCTTTTTCAAGATAACTTTCTCCAGCTTCCAACTTAAAGGAAAGTTAACAGCACGGTAGAGATTAAGCTGTCCAATCTCGTTGCTCTCCGGCATCATGAATATCTTTTGAACAAAAAAAAGTCAGAGAAACGCCACAATCTAAAACACTGTCATTGTAGGTAACTGAAAACTTACTTCTCCGTTGTAATTGAAGACAAATGGAAAAGACAAGTGCCAAGCTTCATCCAAAGCTATACCAAGAGGTTCCCAAGTAGCTCCTTTATCAATACTTTTAGCAACTCCTATATCACCTTGCATTGTAATGGGGCTTTTAGTTTCGAAGAAGAGGTAAAGAGTATCACCCTGTTTAATGACAACCACAATCATCCAAAATCAGAGAAACAGAGCAAAAAAAAAAGAATCAAAGAGGGATCAGAATTGTAGATACCTGTACATAAAGAAAAGGATCAGCTACAAAGTTGCTTGGAAGACCAGCATTGGTGAAGGAGGCACATGTTATTACTGGATTAGCCACAGGCCATGCTCCACTCTCGTTCCTCCATACATTGATCTGTTTTAAAATTTTCAAAAAGACCCAAAATTTCATGAACCCTAGATGAAACAATTACCTGTGACCTAAGGAAAAAACAAAAGACCCAAAATGCACAAATTCTCTAAATCAAAAATTATGTTACATGAACAGAGAATAAAATTTCAGAGACTCACGGTTTCGATTGGTTTGAGAGAGAATGGAGAATCTCCATAGAAAACACCAATGGACCATGAACCTTCATTGTCTTCTCTGCAACCTAACGAAGACGACGATACATGATCCGTACGACCGATATGCGGCGGAAACACGAACCAAGCGTACGTCGCAGCCACCAAAGCGTAAACTCCAAAACACGAAGCGAAGAACAGAAAACGCCTCCCGGCGCCGTAATTTGAGAGGTATTTGTAACGGTTGTGATGATTGTGACCAGAAGCAGCGACGTTCTTCTGCGAGCTGAGTTTTCCGGCGTTTTCCGTCGTCTCTTCCATCATCGGAAAACGAAATTTTCTTCCTCCTCTCGGCGGCGGAACCGTGTAAATATCGCCGTAGAAAATTTATTCTTTTTCTATTTTTTCGTTAATTAGGAATTCAAAATTTACTAATTAAAATCTTTAATTACTAAATATTTTTTTGTAATCTGCTCTTAATTTGTATCGATTTTTTTCCATTTAAGGTTAGAGAAAGAGATCTCTCTCTCTCTCTCGCTGCGTTGCAGAGGAATTATAAAGGTGACGAGTGTTAATGCAGAGAAGCGGAAACGTTACTTGGCATGTTTGTCGGTTTTACCAAACTACCCCCCCTTTGTTTTGCTTTTCGAGTGACACGTGTAAACCTGCCGCTCCACGCGTGTAAACCAGAACCGGCCGCTTCGGATTACGTCAGTATTTGTCCGGTTTAATTCTCTCTGTCCTTCTTGACCGCAATTATGAATTTTTTGGATACTCGAACTAAAATAACTTATTACAAATAAACACTTTGGATACAAATAAGTATGTGATATGCATTTAATTTAGGGGACGTAAGGTTTTTTTTTAGTCTTCAAATTTAGGTTTTTTTTTTTTTGTCAAAGATTCAAATTAAAGTTTGGCATAGATATCGATCCATAGGTCGTGATCGGTTTTCGTATCCGATCTAAAAATAGAATGGTAGATGTTGATGATCTAATTATATAATTTTATTTTATTTATGTCAAGAAACTTTTCATATTCACAATAAAATTATAGTGAAATGTGAAAAGGAATTAACATTGTAGGTGAGTGTACTATCAAATTTGTTTCTCTATTAAGTTTTAAATTCATAATTTTAATTTTCAAGAAGCAGACTTATCCGCAGTAAATGGTTTGTTACAGATGTCTTTTTCTCTCTTGATGGTAAAATCAGATTTACCGATATGTTAATCAGATCCTATGTATGTGTGAATGACTCAGATACTATATTAAAGGGAATTCCCTTAATAGTATATTATGTTCCAACATGGAAACATAAGCTTTTTGAATTTTGAAATACTGAATTCATCTTTTGGTAAAATATATTTGCCTTTACCGTCTCGTGTCTTAATAATTGAAATCAGCTGTACCCTATATTGATCTATTTTCGGAAGAAACTTGAATCATGGATTCCATCACGAATTCTAATCAAATATTAGGTAACAACAAAATAGTTCAAAAACAGATTTTTCGTTCTCATAAAATGAATTCATTGATTTGGACATCAATAGAGAATATTTCGACGAAGTTTCCTAATTTTTGTTTTATTTTCATTAATTTAATGAAATTTTTCTTAATTGTGTTTTTTTTCATTGAAACATCCACAAAATTTCGTAAATTGTCAACAATGTGCTTCAATGCTAACCTCTCGTGAGTCACAAAGTCATAATACTAGTTGTTGTTAGGTATCTTTTCTTTATTTTGGGATACATTACATTGATAGCACTACAGTTTCTTAAAAACTCTCCATATATATATCCCTATATTTTATAGAAAATGCACACCACCCCTATAGTTTCTAAAACTATGTTTCCAAACCATCAGAATGAATCAATGTCCTATAGTTCTTTTGGTGGTCCATTTTATTTTCTATGTATCGCACACTCCTAACCCGAAACCAGATTAGCTAGGAATCTTTGAATCGTAATGCAAATGACAGAGGTAAAATCTATACAACTAATAGCGTAATCGTGGCAACATTCGTAAGGTCGGATTCATAAAAAAATACATATATGCATTCGTTTTATGAGGGATTAATCTAATATCCGAAACTTAAATAAGCAGCTAAAATAGTAGCCAGAGGAACCGAAACGTTGTCGTCTAA